CACATTTCTGATGAGACAACCACATTTCTGATGAGACAACCACATTTTTGATGTTGTAGCGAATATGGCTGTGCTATGACAAGAAAACTAAGAATTTCATCATCGCTTTGTTAAATATACACCCAGGACGGCGTGATCGGGTGGTGGAGCGTAGGCCTGCTAACCCGAGAGTCTCGAGTTCTGATCCCGGACTCACTTATGTAGGACGTCCTTGAGTTCGCTCAGCTCTAATGAGTGCCTGACTCATATTAGCGAAAGTAAATCGACTGAGAAAAGCGATAACCATTCACATACCGAGGCATTGAAACAGGTGAACTCTACTTCACCTGCTCCATTGCCCGTCATGTTCTGGATTGTAATATACCTATAAGCCAAACATCTAATCCATGTTGTTCTTGTGTTGCCCCATTGACCCGAGTACCTCAGCACCCCCAGTTACTAGACATCGTCACGAACCCATAGTGCTAGGCCGTGGGTACCTACAACGTCTCACCCATACAAATGGAATGCTCTAAAAGGTCGGTCTCGGCTCCACAACTAGATTTATCTTCGTGATCCAGTTTAATTTAGCGACTAACGGCTTCCGTCCAGGGGCCCGGCTCCCTGGATTAGCGCGTGAGAGCTTGTTTAATCTAATTTAATCCGCCTTGACCCTAACGGTGGTCACTCGATGATCAATGGCGTTATCTGATTCGTTGCTCCTTAATACAGATTACAAATGTAATGTAATGTAAAAACGCAAAATCTCTCTTGCTTTCACATACACCCATACATACTCACACACACGCATATATATAGTCTAAATTAGGGGTCTCCAAACTACGGCCCGCGGGCCAGATGAGGCCCGCGAGGTCCTCTCAAGTGGCCCGCCGAGATCTTTTTGTCCACGGAAAAAAAATGTTTGTTGAAGGTGGCTGAGGAACTTTGTCCAGAAAATTAAAAACAATTTTAAAGTGTAGTATTGGGTGCAAATTCCATTGCCCGCCGTGTTGCAGACATTGGTGAAAACATGTCTCAAATCGCGAAAAATGCAAGAAGTTTTGTAAGTTTTCTATTGCAATGGATGAGTCGCTGGACAGCTGTTCCTCCTCTCAACTTCTTGTGTTCATTAGAGGTGTATATATATATATATATATATATATATATATATATATATATATATATATATATATATATATATATATATATATATATATATATTATATATATATATATATATATATATATATATATATATATATATATATATATATATATATATATATATATATATATATATACATTTTCTATGACGTCTCAGTCTCTTATAAAATTTCAGTTTTTGTGTTCGTGTTAACTGTCTTGTCGTGATATCAGTATCCTAATGAAATAAAAGGACGGAACAAATATTCATTTCAATTTTTATTGAAAGTGTGGCTGAAAAAGAACATAGCAAATGAGCAAAAAAAAAAGAAAGAAGTATCTATTTACAATGGTTATATCAGTGGTCTGTGTGGTTGATGCACACACCACATGTGGTTGAGTCTAGTCTTAAACAAGCAACCCACATGTGGTTTTTACTCCTTTCAAACTGTTGTAAAAAAAAAACAAGATTGCGTGATATTTGTACACACGCATCCAAATCTTCAAATTTCTCATGCTACGAATATTTCAGTACAACCAGTTCAATGCTCTTTATTTAAAAAAAAATTAAATGGAGTTTGAAAATTCTTGAGTTATTTTTGTTGAATTTCATGAGTTCTTGCACGCAAACTTTAGAATGTTAAAAGCAATGATTACATCGTTTGACTCAGAACATATTATATGTGGATCGAATAAAATGTCAGTTGGCTGCTGGTTTGAATTCTAGGCATTTGTAAAACTACTGGTGTGTAAATAAGTGAACAATATACAAAATACTCCAGGAAATAGCTACATAATGTATTTGTAAATGTTACTTTTGACTGCTAAAAGCTGTAAAAAAAAGGTTAAATCTGGTTGTTAATTTCAATGTGAGTATTGCATATATACAGGTCTGTGCTAAAATAATGTGGTGTTTATGTTATCGTTAGAGATTATCACTTAGTTGTTTTTTTCCGGTGTGCGTGACGTCAGCAGACGTACAATTAACAGGTGTTTATTAATATGACTCCAAACACTGCATTTTTATTTCTTTTACAGCTATGCCTTTGCCCCCCCCCCCCGCCTCCTAATGTCACTACCCCTACCCCAAGCACTGCCCCCACCTCCCCCAAAACCTGACGCTACATCAACACACCTACCTACACAGACGCTACACACCAGCATTGTATGTACTCGTCTCGGTCGTGCCCCAATCTACAATACATATACCCTACACTAAATATACCCCTACAACTAACATAATCAATCAGGCAAGTTGACACATCTTTGTAAAAAATCTGGCATAAGAAAATGTCAGAAGGTGTCTGGTAACCTTTATTCAATCAATACACGGTTATTAATTTCTGTTAGTTGTCAGAAAAATTGCCAGATTTTTAAAAGTATTGTCTTTAAATACTTTCTGTTAGTTGTCAGTTAATGACCAGGTTTTTTAAAAGTTTGGCCTTTAAATAATTTCTGTTAGTTGTCAGAAAAATGGCCATGTTTTTTAAAAGTATGGCCTTTAAATACTGGCATGACACCTACTCCATCTTCAGTAATTTAATTCTTAGGAAGTAAAAAAAAAATATTTTCACTCTTAAAAGGATTACCCTTGTCAAGCAAAAAATAACAGCTTATGGAAGGCACGATTTATAATCATTTCTTCTTTTTTTTCAAAAACAAAAAGAGTATTTTTCATTGAGTGTACTGTTTGTAGCCTTAGAATAGAAGGCTATTGTTACTGTTAAAATATATCGTTTTTTTGTATGCATCAGACTTTAAAGTAGAAGACAGATGGAAATGGTTCGCAGGGGCTGAGCTGACGCAAACGGCATTTAAAGCTGGCCCCCACTACCACAATGTTATCACCCCCTTCACACAATGCCACCAGTGATGGTCCCTCATGTTACCAGACCCGACCCCTCTTCCCATGTTACCAGACCCGACCCCTCTCCCGATGTTATTAGACCCGACCCCTCTCCCCCATGTTAAAAGACCTAACCCCTTTTTTCTGAAGTTACAAGACCCGACCCCTCTCCCCATGTTACTAGACCGACCCCTTTCGCCCTCGATACCTGACCCCTCTCCCACAGTGACACCAATGGGATAAGACGGAATTGGGGGGGGGGGGGCGCCAAGGTTTATTCACTGTTCTCAAAATGAGGTTAAAAAACTGTGGCTTTAGGTATTATTAGAACAATCACCGGGGAATCCCGATAAGGCTTTCTTCATTAAAATGTTCGCATAACTCATCCCGATTGTGACTTGGGCTTTAAACCCCATCCATCAAAACTAACACCACAAACCCCCTCGGATTATAGTTTTTTTTTTATCCAGTCTTTCATTAAGTATAACTTTCAGCATTTATTACTTTTTATTTAACTTTCAGTATTTATTAATATTTATTTTTGGTTTCAGAATTATTACTTTTATTTTACCTTCAGCATTTATTACTTTTATTTTACTTTCAGCCTTTACAACCCGGAAGTAAAAAACTGCACTTGTTGTGGAATGTTAGAGGTGAAGGGCACACGTCAATGCCGACTCCCCACCCGCTAAAAAAAAACGTAAACCAGCCACCATTACGTCCGGCCCGTGCCTTCCATTTCTGCCGGTTAATTTAGTTTTTTCCGGTTTCGTTTCTTGCCGGGCATTTTTTCAGAAATATTCTTCTAAATTTAAATATATATATATTTTTTTAAATATTTTTTTTTTTCACAACCTGTGGTAAATAAATATAAAATTTTAATTTTTTAAACGCCATTAATTCCAATGCTCTACCAATGAGTAATTGAGCAAATTAATATAATCGATCTTGTTGTATTTTTTTTACCGAATAACTACACGTCTAACTAGCATATATCTTTAAAAAATTAAATTAAAATGTATATACATATTGATTCTTATTTACATACCATTGCAACTCTTTCCCTTAAGTGTACTGAATCCTAGAAATCTGAACATGAGAATCATTTTTAATTAAAAATTTAAAGATAAAAAATATTTTTAAATGTTACTCCCGATGTATTGTATTTCTAAGTTTTTAAACTCGCGATTAAAAAGACACAAAAAAGGCTTAGAATTTATTTTTAAGCTTATTCCTAAGTCCACGACAATGCGGGTTGCCATGGTAACGACAAAACCATGACGTAAAACGGTTCAGTTGCAAGTATTAAAATTGAAAAAAAAACACGACCCGACAACACAGAGGGTAAAATCTAGCCTATGGTCGCTGCACAGCACAGAAAGGATAAAAAAATTGGACCCTACCAAAGGCTGTGTAAAGCCGTGTAAAGCAAAGCGTACAATATTTACAATTTACAACACAACCTTAGTCCTGACTACCGCAACCATAACATATTTGACATCAATTTAGCCATTGGAAACGAGCATGATAAAGCTAGCCAATAGAAACTTACGTAAGAGAACGGTTAGCCAATAGAAACATACGTAAGAAAACGAAGTAAACTATTAGAAGCATTAGTTAGAAAACTAATTTAGAAAATTGAAGTATAGGCCTACGTAACACATGAAATTAGCCAATAGAAACATATGTAAGTAAACAAATTTACCCAGTAGAAAAAATGCAAAGTATGATTAATACAGATATGTGATTGTATTATAATACTCAATTATACTAATGTTTACATATAAACATTATCCTTTCACTCTCCGTCACCAACAGAATTTTAACCAAAGAAAGACCTCAAGAAAAATACCAATCATTCTAAATTTTGCATTGTACAAGGTAGGCTGAAACAGTAACATTCCTTCTATACTTTACATTGTGCTGAAACAGCAACATTCATTCTATACTTTTGTGCTGAAACAGCAACATTCATTCTATACTTTTGTGCTGAAACAGCAACATTCATTCTATACTTTACATTGTACTGAAACAGCAACATTCATTCTATACTTTACATTGTACTGAAACAGCAACATTCATTCTATACTTTACATTGTGCTGAAACAGCAACATTCCTTCTGTACTTTACATTATACTGAAACAGCAAAATTCCCTCTATACTTTACATTGTACTGAGGAAAACAACATTCCTTCTGTACTTTGCATTGTGCTGAAACAGCAACAAAGATTCTTTACTTTTACATTGTGCTAAAACAGCAACATTCCCTCTGTACTTTACATTATATTGAAACAGCAACATTTCATTTTGACTTCACAAAAATGAAATTTGTTTTAAAAGTTTCGCACACACGACAAGTCACACATACCAAAATTCAGTTAATCAACACACGCCCAATGTTTACAGTCGATAGTGCTTGTTGAAAAACTTTACTATATGTGCATTCATAAAAACAGTATTATGACTATAACAGATTTAGTCCTTTAATCAATTAAGCAAGTATGGACGCAAATGAAACAAACAATAAATAACATATACACTCCATATAGGCAATAATTTAATCAACTTTGATACAATAAAGCACACCAAATTCTTATCAAGACAAAACACTTGACTGAAAATCTCTAGTGACCAATCCCGTGATCAGAACTGAATAGGTTTTCAGACTCAAGCCCAAGAAACGACTAGAAACAAATAATTTCCACGACTGTTTGTAGCAAACAAGTACAAAATCAGAGCTTAATTTTATTTAAAATTGTTCTCTCTCTCGTATGTGAACATACCGCCTCCAAAAAAATGCATGAAATAAACAAGACCGATCACAATATAAAAAATAAAATAATCGAGCAGTTTTTCTCCTTCAAATCACAAGTTGATGAACCCGTGGATTGAAAAAGCTATCTACTAAAATAGTTTGACAAAGACACTACTTGCACATACAAAATCTAATGTATAAACTGCATGGTTTTGCATATAGGCCTACAACGAAGTTTAAAAATAGTGATAAAAGCGTACAAACCTATTACACTAATATGTATATGTGGCATTCAAGCAATATGTGACAGCCTCATACAAACATACACTTCCACAAGACATGCGCAGTCATTACCTGTATCATTACCAAGATAGAAATAGACATGCGCAGAGAGCTATGACGTTGCATTGACAGCCAATAATTTAAATTCTTACACTTTCATCAATGAGTATGTTTCGACATTCATTAAAAAAATGAATAAAAATTCCCATCCAATGGCATCCAATTTAGCGCACTTCTTTTTCTTTTTTTCTTCAGAACATGCAGGTGACAAGGATGACGTCACACCGCACAGGTGCGACCTTGAATAGATAGAACAGTGACGTCATTTCTCGAGTAGACAACCAGTCACGCGCACGTTCTGGAGCCGATGTGGAACTAGGTCACGACACACGGCAGTCATGCTTGCCCCGACGGTGGGTCCTCTTCACCTTGGGTTTCGAACCCCGCCTAACAAGACTGCGACTTCTGGAAAAAAAAAAACAGGAAACAATTGAACAAATCTCAAACCACGTCAGACTCCGACTTCTAAGGAAGTAAAAAAAAAAAGAAAAAATGCCGAACGAAAATCCAACCCCATCTGGAAAGAATGCCAGTTCTATTTTGTTCCTGAAGTTATATTATTGTTGGCTCTACATACATTTCACATTTAAAAACGAAGCTGACTCAATTTTACACCAACCCCAAATACAACGCTTAGTTTCATTTTAATAACTTTAACTATGCTTTTTACATCTAATTCTAGTATCAACCATCATTTTGTTGCTAAACCAAGATTTTAAAGCTAAAGCTAACCCTGACCCTAACGCCCATTCTAACGCCTTCCGTCAAGGATTTCTTGAAGACAATTTTTATTTCGGGTACTTGAAATTTCCAGGGGGGGGGGGGCACTGGTTAAAGTATATATTTTCTATGGATGAACGTGATATGGGGTGGGGGAATGTGACGTCGGATAAATACCTGTAGGTTTAACGCCAAACCTAAACCTAACTCTAACACCAACCCTAACCTGTTAAAATTCTTGGCATCACTTCTAACTCAATACACCAACCCTAACCGTAAAATTCCTGACATCACCTCTAACTCCAACTCCAACACCAACCCTAACACCTAACCCTAACCCTAACCCTAACCCTAACCCTAACCCTAACCCTAACCCTAACCCTAACCCTAACCCTAACCCTAACCCTAACCTGTTAAAGTTCTTGGCATCACTGTCCCACTCTTCGCTCTTCTCCGGTTCGCTTTCATCCAGAGAGTTGGCACTGCGCCTGCGCGTCGAGAGCACGTGACTGAGCGCCCCCACGTGGCGACCTTCACCCCGTGACTGGTCGAGCAGAAGACGGAAGATGTCCTCGATGTTTTCGTCCTCTTTTGCCGACACCTGGTGCGCGAAACAGAGGACAATATTGACATTTAGCGGGAAACTTGCACAAAACAGTTTCGGCAGTAAAAAAAAAATCCTATTAGCAAAGATAAAAAAATATAACAAAAATTATGATTAAATGTGTGTGTTCGTGTTTACGTATTGCCTGTGTGTGTCAGGGGCGGAACTACCATACCGCCAGACCCCGCAATGCGGGGGGGCCCAGGACGTTTAGGGGCCCAGTTCCGACCAAAAAACAATGAATTTTTTTTACAGAAATTAAGTTTTTCATGCGTTTTGAAAGAGGTTTTGTAAAAAAAAAAACAGCAGGTCTACTATAGCAGAGATTGTTGCGTAGAAAAATATTTTAAAATCTACAAGAGCTATAGTTTGAAAGGTAGGTAAACATTCACACTACTTCCATGACTTACTGCCATTCTTTAAAATAGGGATGCCCACGAAGCTTATTTAAATAGTTTTGTACTATGTATATTAAAAAGCATTTGATTCTCAAAATTAATTTAAATAAGACGTACTATACAATAGTATAGCTATAAAAATCAATGTTTTCAAAATTGATATTATAAAAGCCAAAAATGAAAAAAATAAACATAACGCGAGAAACCATTCACGGATCAAGCTAAAGTCTTTATATATTTTTGACCAGCATGTTTATGTTTGATGGTTAAAGATGAGTTTAGACTAAGTTTTTCTGGTTTGTTCTCTCAGAATGGTTATCCATTGCAATGAAGTAGACTAAATTACTCAGTTAGGATATAGATTATATATATATATATATATATATATATATACATATATATATATATATATATATATATATATATATATATATATACATATATATCTATATATATATATATATATATATATATATATATATATATATAAATATATAAATATATATATATATATATATATATATATATATATATATATATATATATATATATATATATATATATATATATATATATATATATATATATATCTATATATATATATATATATATATATAGATACATATACATATATATATATATATATATATATATATATATATATATATATATATATATATATATATATATATTTATATATATATATATAGATAGATACATATATATATATATACATATATATATATATATATACATATATATAATTTTTTCTTTGCGGGGGAGCCTTTTTTTTTTAGTTCCGCCACTGGTGTGTGTGTGTGTTTTAATGTGTATGTTTATGTGTATATAGCTGACTGCGTATGCGTAAGTATTCCAAAATGAGTTTGCTAGTCGATGATTTCATTTTGTCTATGTGTGTCACAAGGAGAATGGATTGCGTGAGATCACGACAGATAAAGAATTTAAAAAAAAAAAAGAAAATTGTAAATTTTTACAAGACAGCTGGAAGAGAGAAAGTTTAATTAAAAGATAATTACAGAAGAAATGTATGTCCTAAAGTATGGTCATTAGTTTTAAAAAGCGCTCATCTTCTTCTACAGGAAATACGAAGGGAGAGAAGAAGAAAAACACTACATAATGGATCTTCTGTTGATTTATTTGAAAGGGGAATTAACTCACGCATCTGGTAGGATTCGTTTCAAGAGAATGTAAAAATAAAAAAAACAACAAAAAACAGAGCAAGTATAAATTGAAACGGATCAAATAACATGACACTTGTGTGGTATTTGATGAAAAGTGTAGATCGGGTATTACAACGTTGAGGTGGAGGGTGGGGGGGGGGGGTCAGATGGGTGGAAAAATGACTTATACATATTTAATCTCTGCAAACATATCGTGTTTTACAAAACAGGGAATATGGAGCTTGATGGAGATAAACATCCCGTGTTTTTAGTTTAACAAAAACACTATTTTTAATCACGAATGTACACAGTAAATAAAACGTTGTTTTTTTTAACAGAAGTTAGTAAACTAGTATTTGAAGTATTAAAAGATAAAAGTGAATAGATATTCTTTTGGACCTGGGGTTTGATAGGGAAGATGAAGTAGAGTTCGCCTGTTTTTTTTTTACTACTTCAATGAAGGGATAGTGTGGTGAGTACTATGTCTAGACGTCTTTACTTTCCTTAACGTGAGTCTGGTACACGTCAGAGCTGGGTGAATCTAGTGACTGGTTCTGAATAACCAGAGTGACCAGTGTTAAAAATGACCAACCGTAAAAGTGATTAGTATTGTTCGTTTTAACAGTACCAGAGTTAAATATGTCAAGTGTTAAAACCACTGTCAAGAAAAACTAGTCTAAAAAATGACTAGTTAAAATTACTAGTGTTAACATTTTTGTCAAAAATGTAGGCCCCTATAGTGCAAAATTAACAACGCTAAGATTTACACGTTAAAAATGATAAATGCAAAAAAATGACGAAAGTTAAAAATGACTAATTTTTAAAAAGACCTATGTTAAAAATGACCTGTTTTAAAAATGACCAAATGTTAAAAGTAACCAATGTTAAAATTCGCCCATGTTAAAATTGACTAAATGTTAAAATTGACAAAATGTTAAAATCGACCAAATGTTAAAATTGACCAAATAATTAACCAAATGTTAAAATTTACCAAATGTTAAAAATAACCAAATCTAAAAATGACCAGTATTAAAAAACAAAGTGACTCAATAGCAACATACACCATCCAACGGTCGGGGTTTAAATTACTGGATATATTCCACCCTTATAAATAAACCTAACCCTATCTTTACCACCTAATGCACTTGAGGTTCTGGCATAAATATTTGAAACGCCACCCACAGTGAATTGACTGCGTTAAGTAAATTACCTCATCAAAAATTAAGTTGCCGCCTCGCTATAAGTAATGACTGTTGGTGTCGTTTAAGTTTTTTTTAATCAAATGAAAACATCTTTAGAAATAAATACAAGTAACATTTTAACCCATTACACCGTCAGAATGTAATAGAAAACTTGACTTGCATCTCATGAGAGATGATATACTTAAACACAACGAATAAAGGTTTCAGAAAGATATGTATTTTAACTATAATAGCGTAAAGATTATGGTTTTTTTTTCACTTTAGTCAATAACATAGTCAAATCTGATCAAATGTATGGGAGTGAGAGAATATATTTATAAAGTTTTAATTTTCTTTAAATGGATCGTATGCAATCGTTTGTTGTTTTCCATTTCCTCCAATAAGGAGCTTGGATATTTAAAATTGTACATTCGAGTCAATGTATTCAATTGTGCGATGTTTTTATTTTTTTGTTTTGTTGTTGTTGTTGTTTTTTTTTAAGTTTTTATAAGGTCTTTTCATGTAGGCTTTACTGTCAAACATAGAAACCCAATCAATTTTGACTCATTTCTAATGCTTTTCTATTTTTTTGTACATATTACTATTCTTTTTATTCTTAGGCGTATAGTAAATTGCAGACTATTCACTTATATAACGCGGCATAATAAAAAGGTGTAAATTATCATTTTGTTACACGATTTCAAAACTAAAAGTAAAGTTCCCGTTCGAACCTGACGGCCAAGGTGAAGTAGTGTTCACCACTGACATTGTGAAAAACATGCTACAAATGTCTACAATTTGTTTGTATGACCCACTGGCATTAAATGTTGCAACTAGATATAGTCGGTTTTTATTCGCGCGCTTTGTTTTAATTATTGCCCCGTCTTGTTTTAATAAACAAAGCACAACAAGACACAACTGGGCTAATTACGATTTTAAAAGGGTGAAGGTTAGATTAATAATCTCTCTATTATTTAAAAACCTGAGCTTTAATCGAGGTTATTATTGTAACAATATGTTACACCGCATTTATTTTAATTGCCTTTAATTGTATTAATTGCACCTAATTAAAACCTGTCTGGTTTTAATTTTAACGGAGGAGATTTACGTAAAAATGAGAAAATAAATTTAAAAAAAAAAATTAATTAAAGGGCAGATAATTACACAACACGCTATCGTTCTTTATTAGTGGTGAAAAAAGTAAATGTGTCACCACAAGGTCGAGTTTGTGGCATTTAGCCTACAGATATTTGTTTATAATCAGGGGTGGGGGGGGGGGGGATGTCAATAAATTACGTTTTACAACTATGGGAAGATATGCGCCGTAACCCATGTTGTTTTTAATAGAGTTATCGTTACTTTACGGGGCTGGATTGAAATTTGCCTACGTCTCTGATTTAGATAAATGGGTTGTATTTTTGTGACATATAAAACGCCATGAAGGGAGTTGATTTGTATAACATTGCTTCACGTCAGAAGACTTTGTGGATTAATTTATAACTTCGATGTTTTTATTTATTTCTTTTATTTCTTTATTTATTTTTAAATAAATAAACACGCTGAGTTTGAATCAATTTAAAAAAAAAGTATTTCCGTAAAATTTAAAAACAGCATTGCTGGTAAAATTTGCTTAATAATTTAAATAGCCAGTATTTCAAAATCACAAATGAGAAATCACGTCATCATAATTCAAAGTTCATGTCGACCTCGAGCTTTTGTTCCCGTGTGAAAAAAATGTAAACAAAAACAACACAGAGATTGATGACGTTCCACACGACAAGTTGTTGACGATCGCGCATGAGCGTGTAAATTAAAAACCCAATTTTCCGTTTTTGTTGCGCCGAGAAATCAGCTCATCAAAATCAAAAGAGTCTTCAAGATCCGACGTCCCGTTAATTTTTGTGATCTTCCATTAAAAGAGTCTTCGACATCCACAGGGCGTCCCGTTTTAGTGATCCTCGCAGAGGCGCAGTGACCCGTCCCGACGCCCGGGGACAAACTTTCAATTTGGCGCCCCCCCCCCCCCCCCCCCGCCCCCCCCCCTTTATATTTTTTTATATTTATAATGCAAAACTGCTAAAATGAGCTTATAATTTTTTTTCGAACCATTTTGGCGCCCCCTACGGTTGGCTACCGGGGACATTTGTACCCCCAGCCCCCCCCCCCCTCCTCGCTACGCCTCTGGATCCTCGTCTGGCCAAATATCTTCAATGTGGGTTTAAAAGTAGGACACCCAGAACATTCAAAAACTAACGTAGTCTTCCAGCACTGAAGATGGAGTTCAGTAGGTCACGTGATCAGAATGGTTAAGACTGAAGTCAGATGGACACCACATGACAAGAGAAAATTAAGGAAGGCAGATGAAACATGGGATATCAATGAAGAATGTGTTGAAGGAGTGACCTCACAGGCCGAGGTTAGAGCTAGAGACAGGACGAAATGGCGCTCACTTGTTGATGCCTCGCGCGCCAATGGGAGTTGCGAGATGATGATGTTGGTTTGGAGGATGCGCCTGTAGGTCAACATGTTCTATAGTCGCCAACATGAATCGAGTCTTAGAGCTTTTACTTTACACTCCTGCGTGTTCCAACCTTACCAGTATATTCTAAATCCGTCATTTTTTTAGCCAACTTTTCCTAAATTTGCCAACTTGTTATACATTCCTCAGTGTGGTGTAAATTCGCCAATTTGTCCTGAATTCGACAGTGTTCTCAATTTGCCAATTATGATCTAAATTCGCCAGTGTGTTTAAATTCGCAAACTTGTTCTGAATTTGCCTATTTGTTCTAAGTTGGCTAATATGTTCTAAATCCACCATTTGTTCTACACCTACCAATGAACTCTACATCAGCCCCTAAGTTACCCAACAAAACCCACCAACATTCAGACAGTTGCTAGAGAACAGAATTCTCCAGTCAACCAAACACCCAGACAGTCAACATTCAGACAGTTGCTAGAGAACAGAATTCTCCAGTCAACCAAACACCCAGACAGCCAGCTCCTCAAGAGACCAGCTGACAACTACAATTACACTGTTTTACCCATCAGGGCAGTGCACACTACCACCAGAATACCATCACCGGGAATCCCACCGGGAGAGACTGTAGTCTAATCGGGAACTCCCGAAGAGACGACCTTGCTCCATTTCTCCAATTTGAAATGTATTGCCAAGTAAGTCGTGTATTGCTGAAGTAATGTGTACTTGTTATACAGTGAGTAGTTATGTGTACGGGTGTGTATAACAAAGGAGCCCGTACAATTAGAGATCACGTGGGTATTTTATCTGTACGCATTGCAGATCGTTGAAGGTTATTAATTTTAGTCACATAATCAGTTTTGTCGCTAATTTTGACTCGCTAATTAAATAAACTACTAACAATGTGTAATTAATTATAAAAATCTAAGTTTAATAGTTCTTTTCTAATTTCCAGTTGAGTACCAGTTGTCGTGTGTGTGTGAGTGGGGAGGGGGTGTTGAGGTGTACTCACCTCGACAAATCCGCCAAAAAAAAACTGTTGCTGTTGATCCAGTTGAGCGTGTGTGACTGTGTGAGTGTGTGTGTGTGTGACTGTGTGTGACTGTGTGTGAGTCTGTGGGTGAGGGGGGGTGTACTCACCTCAACAAAGCCGCCAGAAAAACTGTTGCTATAGATCCAGTTGAGCGTGTCGAACTTCTCCACCTGTCTGCCGTTCTCCAGGTCCATCATGGTGCCGACTATCACACAGGGAAGTTCCTGAAAAATATCAGGTTTACCGTAACACATTGGGTAATACAACATGAAAAAAAGAAAGCAGGGAAGTTCCTGAAAAATATCAGGTCTACCGTAATAAAGTGGGCAATACGAAAGGAAAAAAAAGCAAGGAAGTTCCTGAAAAATATCGGGTTTACCGTAACACAGTGGGTATTACGACAAGATAAAAATACAGCAAGGTTTAACCACGTGTTCAAAATACTGCTAGGTTTGAAGGTATTGCCGTGTTCACAACGCTTCGCGGTTTGAAAAATTAAATCACGTTCACAATACTATAAAATATTATAATATATAATGTGGTCACGATCCCTAAAAGGTTTATAAATTATAAGATTTGAAGATAGAAAACTTGTTTTCAGATTTATATTATGTTTTTCGAAGGGGGAAAAATCTAGTCAGAACAATTTAAATAAAACGTCACCGAGAAAATGGCATGCCATATTGGCAAATGACGATTAATTTAATTTTCTCGCTTTTTTCTATAAATCGCACACATAAAGAAACTGATGCGCATCGCTTCCAGCATGGAATATGTTACCAGACTTGTCAGGTACTCTATGGGTCTTACTGGAATCAGAAAGGTCCCACAAGCTAATAAGGAACAGTGCTCAAAGCGTTAAAATTGGCATCATGCTTTGTTGCAGATTTTTGAGATTGACTCCCTTTAAATATAACCATGTTCCGGGAAGTAAAATGTGTTCGCAATACTAAAAAAAAAAAGATTTAGATAACTACATGTTCATTTAATCAGGCGCGCGTTCAAACGGAAACAGAACATGTTGAAATTACTGGTAGAGCCAATGATTGCATAACGAGATCTTTATAAGTTGTGTACGAAGAAAAAAAAATGGTATAACAGGGAACGGACAATAAATCAATAGGCGTCGGGCGTGTTCAGAAGACGGAGTAGCTAATAGAAGTAAAACACAGTTGCTGTGTTATTTTGTACAGCTGTAGTGAGTAGAACGCGCCCACAATAGTCAATATGAGATGGCGTTAGCAAGGGTATGTCTGAATGACATATGTAAACGTAAAGTACCTTAGAGCAGGGGTCGGCAACCTTTTGAGTCGAAAGAGCCAAAAGTTACAATTTACAACATTACCCGGTTTTTAAAGAGCCGCTAACATTTTTATGTCAATATTATATTTGTTTAGGATTATATATATATATACATATATATATATATATATATATATATATATATATATATATATATATATATATATATATATATATATATAATCCTAAACAAATATCATACTATATATATATATATTTAAAATAAATAGCTTTGAATATATGAAATAATCTCATTTGAATTTGTGTTGAGAGGATCTACTATGTAAGTCAGAGTACTTGCATTTGTTTTGAATAGCTTAAATCCTTCATTTTGTTTATATTAATGCTGAAGTGATTGAGTAGTAGCATTGATTTTATAACGATATTTTTTCAGATTTTTCGTAATTAAGTAATTTACCGCTCACCATGTATCCAACAAAAAAGTGTTGTTTTTTTTCGAAACAAACCACTTCTTCAAGCAAGAGATAGGCTAGATTTTCCTTTCAGTTCTACGCTTAGCTGGTTTGGTTTTTGTGTGATATCCACTATGAAGTTGAATGTTTCAATTCAGAATGGACAATGTAATAGGAAGTAGTCTACATTGAGATAGGGAGTAACTAAATATTCTAATATAATAGTGAATGTTTATTGTTTATATCTTATGTTATATCGTTTATTACCGAATGTTGCAGACTAATATTTTTTATGAGTTTTGAAAATTAAAATAACATCTATATACTACTAAAAGTCAAGTTTGTTTACATGTTTGAATATTTATTTTTTTGTTTGTTTGTTTGTTTGTTTTTTTGTTTGCCTGATTGACTATTGCTCATGGTTGCACTCATCGTGGAAAGCTGTAAAATAGTATGTAGGTAGAGAAAAAATTTTGTTTTAAGACAGACTGTTAATCACAAATTTATTTAAAGACGTTAATTAATTTATTGATTTATTCATACGTAGAATAACCCAATTTTTTAAAAAAGATTTGAAAAGCCACTAGACTCGACGGAAACAGTGACGTCACAGGCTTTTTTTACTCTTTAGTACAATAAAATGGCGGCGTCTATCGAAGAAAATTGTGTTCCCATTCAAAAGTTTAACGCGTTCTAAATCTAATTTTCTGTCGGTCATAACTTTAACAATACGTCCGTTTGCTGTATTTATTACGTTCCAACACTTATATCAATTTTAAACTGTCTTTTTTCATTTAGTTTTACAATAAATTTCTCTAGATCTAAAGATCAGCTGTCGAAGGAAAGTTATGAATGAATCGAGCTAGCGTAGATTCTAGATCTAGAATCTAGATCTAGACTCTAGCCTAGATCTAGGTCACTAGACTCAATGTAAATTCTAGATCTAGACTTAATGTAAATTCTACATCTAGAATCTATTTCAGGCCTTAATTATTTTATATAAATCTTTGTTTAGCTTCAATGATCATCTAATTCGAGAATACATGGGATTTTTTTAAATCTAGGTTCTATATCTAGATGTAGTAGGATTACTCACTAACTTGGAGGCGTGGTCGGCTGCTAACAACAATATGGCGTCCGGACCGGACGAATGACTTCCGACCATTTGTAGGCCATGTTTACCACGAGCAAAATGGCGGGTGTTCACATTATTTAAACATGGTATAGGTGGCCAGGGCTAGATATGCCAGAAAAGCATTTTAAAAATGGAGAATGAAGGCTAAATTTTAAAGTCAGTGTCATAAAAATTAATAGAACTTTTTTTTTTACGTTTTCAATTATTTTTTCTTAAGCCCTATATGTGAATGATAAGGTTGACTATCAGGACCTCGCGGGGCACAGGGAAGGTGAAGTAGAGTTCATCTGTTTCTTTGTCCTAAGCATATGAAAGGATAGTGTGGTCAGAGACATGCTCGGCTGGAATCGTTTTTCAAACGATAAAAACATGTTGTCTGAGACTTGGCGGGACACTGGGCAGGTGAAGTAGCGTTGAGTAGGTCACATGTGACGTCAGTATATGAAGGGATAGTCCGAAATCGGTGTTTTCGGTGTTTTTAAAAGATAAAAAACATATTTTTGAATGTGGGGTCTGTTTTTTTGTGACGATAAGTGACACTGCAGTAGCGTAGCGAGGAGGGGGGGTGGGAGGGGAGGGGAGGCGGGGGGGGGGGGGGGAGGGGAGGCGGGGGGAGGTGGAGGGGGGAAGGGGGGGGCGGGGGGGGACATATGTTGGGGCGCCAAAATGGTTTGGAAAAATAAATTGAAAGGTTGAGGGGGGTTCAAATCGAAAGTTTGAGTGGGGGGGGGGGTGCACATCAAAAGTTTGAGGGGGGGCGGGGCTGCAAATCGAAATCTTGCGGGGGGGGGGGGTTCAAATCGAAAAGTTTGTCCCCGGGCGCCGGGAAGGGTCGCTAAGCCTCTGAGTGACAGACGTGTTGTTTTTTGATGGATGACCCCCGAAACCCACAGTTATCCAACGGATGACGGGTATTCTAGTAATTATTAATATTTGTGCATGGAGCTGAAGAGCCGCAACTGGACACCAAAAGAGCCGCATGCGGCTCGCGAGCCGCAGGTTGCCGACCCCTGCCTTAGAGGCATAAATTGATCTAAAGGTGAAATGAAGTAAAGTTTGTGTGTTTTTAACACGTAGAGCGATTGTTTTGGTTCGTACAATCATACAGTCGTCTATGCTTTCTTGACTATAATCTGTTTTCATTAGTGGACTCAAAGACCTCCTACTGTTCTGTTAGGTACCAATAAGAGCTGAGTGACTCAAGGACACCATATAGACTAGAACCCAGGAATCGAAACCCAGAAGATGTTTGAGTTAGCAGTCATGTGCTCTACTACTCAGACATGTAGATACCATTTATTTGTATTAGCTAAACTGTCCAATCTAGTGTGTTGTATCGACCAAAATAATTATGTTAACTCTCGTGAGTACAAGACATACAAGACACGCAGATGTGCAACATATTTCAAGTACATGTTTTGTAAAGACAGCTACCATGTTGAGTCCTATAAACCACGACACTATCTCAATAGCTCTATTGTTGTATCTTTAATGTGAAACAAACCCCGCCTTGGGGTACTGTTAAATCGATTCTTGTCAAATAATTTACTTTAGCCAAATGAAACTTAATTTTAATAACAAACCTGTCGACTTTATTCAACAATACGCTAAATGGTTTAGTAAAATATTGATCATAAAATTAAGGCAATCATTGAGCTGGACTATAAGTTTCAGTCCAATCATTTAGTTAACTATGGACTATAACATCCAATCAATCATTTAGTGAACTTTGAACCCTAACACTTAGCCAATCATTTAGTGAACCTTGGACCAAAACATTCAATCAATCATTTAGTGAATTCTGGACCATAACATTCAGTCAAATCATTTAGTGATATCTGGACCATAACATCCAATCAATCATTTAGTGAAACTTGGACCATAACATGCAGCCAATCATTTAGTGAACTTTGAACCATAACATCCAATTAATCATTTAGTGAACCCTGGACCATAACATGCAATCAATCCATTTAGTGAACCCTGAACCATACCATGCAGCCAATCATTTAGTGAACTTTGAACCATAACATGCAGTCAATCATTTAGTGAACTTTGAACCATAACATGCAGTCAATCATTTTGTGACTGAACCATAACATTCAGTCATACATGGACCAGCCAGTCAACTGCGAACCGTTTTATGCAACATCAAATGCCTTCACACAAACGGGATTTAGGCTTAAATCAGGAATTATTGATTGGGTATCGATCTCGACCAGACGGGAATCATTTACTCACTCCCTACTTACAGTCAGTTCCCAGCGTGCCATTGTTCAATAGCCGCCAATAGGACGATGATCCATGGGACGTTTCCATATATGGTAGCGGTCAGAATTTTGGTAGGGTGGTACAGTATTTTGGTACGGTGGTA